CCCCACGGGACCCCGCTCTTTGATTGCTCTCTCCCTGCACTTTTAGCGCTTTTCTCAGCCAATCATGACACTGAGTTCGTTTTGATCCGTGCAGACTGTCCCTCTGTAAAAGGAAATTATAACCCTCCCCCTCCTCCCCAAAAAAAAATCTTTGTGAGCGAGTTTTTGGAATGTTTGATTTATTTGTGTACGCTGAATACAASATTATAACAAACCTAGCCAAACCTAACCAAACCTAACCAAGTCAGTCGCTATACTTTATGACGGCCAGTGTACCTTAGTCCTAAGTCAACTAAGAATGAGCCTTTGAAATTGTGGGATTGGACTTTCTGGGTAACAAGACATGCTCTTTCTCTTTTGCTTCAACTTTGCTTGCCTTTGATCATTTTTTACGAACAAGAATTCTTCATAGGAAATACTCCCCTCGTGTTTGGTATCCAGATAGTCAAACAAGCCGGTTAGCTCTTTAACACCAAATGGAAAGTTCCGTCTTTTGCTTCCATGAATGAACTCCTCTTTAGTGAGCAAAGTACCATCCTTTGTTAGGTATCTGAAAAAATCAAGCAAACGAAATCCTTGGGAATTGATGGCCTTTAGGTAAAGTTCTGTTGGTAATGCTTGCTCTCCTTCGATCACCGCTCCTCCTCGGACACTACCATTCCACTTGCATACAAGGTCTGGCTTTATGGTCATCAAGGAAGAGAGTTGCGCTTCACAGCTGCTATCAATAGCAATGCCCTCCAGAGCGAGCTCGCGTAGTGAAGTGCTTGGGTTTTCTCTCAATGACTGGATAATGACTCTTGCACCATGCGCCAAATATGGGTTTCTGCCAATCTTCAATACTTCGAGAGACGTGTTGTGCTGAAGAGACTTCGCTATGCTTTCTATCCCAKCGATTGAGATGTGATTATGCACAAGGTCGAGAATTTTGAGTGTTTTGTTRCGATCTAGTACTTTGCTTATGTAAGCCGCACCAACATCTCCCAGTCCGTTCCACGCAAGACTAAGTTCTSTCAGGGACTTGTTGCTGCTCAGGCCAYTACARAAAGSCTCGGCACAAAGGAAACTGATACAATTGAAGCTAACATCAAGGTATTTTAGAGAACAGTTCTTGGAAAGCACCTCGTCAAAACTTACAGATCCTTCATCACCGATTTCATTGTTAGACAAGTCTAACCTTTCAAGCCTATGATTATCAGACAGAGCTGAAATAAGAATCTGAGCGCCRATACCGTGAATTTTACACCGAGACAGATTCAAACTCTTTAACATTATAGCATGTTTCACCATGTTTGCCAGTTGYTCATGCCCTTTTTTACCAACTGTATTTCCAGATAAATCTAGCTTAGTAATCCACAAGTTGGTTGCCATCATGTCACATATTGCCTTCATGCCTTCTTCCYCGATACTGTTGTCATGGAGATTCAATTCTTCAACTGTTTGGTTATAYTGCATCGCCTTGGCAACAGCAMGAGCTCCTTTARCTCCGAGACCGTAATGTTTGAGATYAATTGAAGAAGTGTTACACATTCTTGTAAAAATTGATGCTGGGACAACGTTGAAGTCATGGCAATATTTCAAATAGATATCTTTACAGTTGTCTTGACAATAATTCTTTTTGCTTTTCATTTCATCATCTTCATCTGTGTCATACCCATCCGATTCCGAATCAGTTGCCTKAAGTTCAGAGAATTGAAACTTGGGCCTAAGAAGCATTTGATTTATTCTTTCACAGCGTTCATCTATCTCCTTTTCGCAGTCATCATCAATTAACGCAAGATCCTCTTGAGGGCTATCTTCAAAGMTCTTAGTCCAATTTTCAAGAAAGGACACTCTTTTTGTCAGCTTGCTTTTGTCCGCCATTTCTTCAACYTGTTAGTTATTTTGGTGTATCTTTAAAGCTTGAAAGCTAGTCAATCGAGTACTTAAACTCTTTTTGCAGTACAACGGWCTCCACTGATCAAYCGGCTATGATTATAGTGATAAATTAACGTCCGTATATCGTTTTTAGATCACCTTAGCTGAGGTTTGTTGTGGTTATGTGTCTTGGCAAACACTGATGATCAAATAACGAATAAGCCATAAATCCCTCATCACTGGTCAACTTTAATTCTCGTGGTTTGATCACAAGCTCAATATTTTGATTTTTCAATGAAGAATTGGCGTCCAATTAATTATTCATTGTGCGTATTTTTTATACTTTGAGGGAGATTGATTCGTATTTAAATCATCTAAGCCACAACAAACCACTTATTCTATATTAATACACGTACTATTGGATAACCTTGAATAACTTGAAAAAAAATTCGACCTGATCTTGTCTCAGCACTGATAGTCCGAAAACCTGTGAAAACGAGCGCTGCGATTGGCTGGAATGCAGTCCAATATCTGTTGTAAAGATGTCGAAAAAATGTGAAGAAATGTAATTACTCCGCCTCAAAATATTCTGAAGCGGACTACTAAGAATACATAAACACTAGAGAACCACTAAATTTCRTGAATCTTTTTATTTTTGGTCAGCTAATTCATAATTCGTAAATAATATATTGTCTAATACTTTTTGTTAGATCAGTAAAATTCATATAATTTCTTCAATATTGTTTTTAAATGTTACCCTTCCCACTGCTAGTAAATACGTCCTTAATTATTTCGCTCGTGAAAATTTAAAATTTAAAACCATTATATTTTAGGTCGATTACATGTTCAGTAGGGAMAGGATATTGTATTTTAGCATTATTTTAGTTCCCATTCTCCCTCGAATCAAATGCCATGTCACTACATCCAGAGAMCTGGGCAACAGACCTTAATTTCCATATTAGTAGGTTTAGATAACTAGTTTTCTTTTGCTATACGTTGGTTTCCCGAGAGAAATCATCTAGAGGAGATGTATTCCCGAATACAATTGAYAGTTCAGACCCTATGTGTTCTTCAGAAGCCAGAGGAACCAGAGGTCTCGATTTATCAAAGCTCGTATAGAGACGGTGCCATAAACGGGACTTATCTTGATCAGGACCATTATCGGTAGGGCCGTCATCCAAGGGACAGTTGATCTTGATGACGTACGAAGGTACAGAACGCCTTTTATTAGACATTAACGACGGATCAACTGGCGGCGATGGCTTTATCGATTCCAATACATCAGGAGAAGAATCAGACCTGAGCCCACTCCTTGCGGTCTGCGGTGTAACAGGACCATTTGGAAGAGGCGAAGGTTTGGGCAGTTCAAGAAAAGGTGTTTCATTTTGAAATTTAGTGTCTGTATGTGTAAGTTTAGGAGAATAGGATACTTGATTTGACAGAGCTAAAGATCTGAACGACTTATCATCACTTGATAAGTAGCTTTTCGGCTGTTGAGGTGGTGAATACGATAGTATCCCATCTAGCTGTCGCTTAGCAACCGTTGATGACGTCGAACACGGATACATAGGAATGATATCACTAATACCATCAGAGTCCCATTCGACGTCATTCTCTTTGATGACGTCAGGAGAGTTAAGACGTTTCATTGCTAGGGTAACCTCCTTAGGCCATTCCGACATGGCGTCCAGGAACTCCTCGTCTGACTCGTCCATTCCATACTTTGAAGGACTGGATCCTGACGAAAACATATCTACATCTGTCTCAGCTAACGTTTTTCCATCTAATATAGTTTCTTTGATTTCATCATTTAATAAATTGTCGTCTAGTATTTCAGTTTCGTTGACGTGTTCAATGTTTTTGTTTGAAATCACTAAATCATCTTGTTTATCGATGATAATATTGTCATGAACACGAATTGTATCATCTACTGATAATTCCTGTTTACGTGTCAACACGGGACTTCCATTCAACTGTTGTCCAACCTGCTCAGTGACGTTGTCTACTACTGGCAAACTTTCCTGCTTTTCCAGCCTTGGTTTACGTTTTGGCGATGCTGACTCAGAAGCGATGGGTTCATTTTCTGTTGATGTTGTTGAGAGCAAATCTTCCTTGACTTTTTCAAGGGAAATATCGTCAAGATCTTGCTCTAAAATCGAGGGTTCTGACGAACTAGTCTTCAAATCCGATCTTTCCAGCGTTCTTTTCGGCGACCCGAGGTCTCCATCTTGAGAGTATGAAATAGGTAGTGATCCCAGTTTTTGCTTGCGGTCTTTACGTGTTTGATCTAGGTTTTCTCCTCGTTTTCCTTTGTAGCCTGTCCCGCGCTTATGACCAAACGGTGAGTCAAAGGTTTCATTCTCAGATTCCTCAAGGAATGGTTGCTTGTGTGCGATCCACTTCTTACGCCGTACATCCTGATTAGTTCGATTATTCTCCGGGTTCTCCACCAATGTCTCCTCATACTTAGTCTCGGTTGAAAATGTCACAGTTTTCCTGTTGTGTTTCAAATTAGGATCGTCTTCTTCATTTTCTACTTGGTTTCTTTTCTTGCCGTGCTTATACCCACTTGGGGCCGCGTTAAGTGAAATCTCATCTTCATCATTTTCATCTTTCTTTGCCTTTTTGTCTTTTAAGTCTTTGAGTTCCTCCATGAAGGTTTCAATGACGGCGTTTTTACAATTACAGATATGTTGAGGTCGCAAAAGTCGGTCAATAGTTTGTTGCTTTAAGGCGCGTTCAGTCGGAGTCTTTGGAATCAACTGTGAAACCTAAAAATATAGAAAAAAGTCTATTTCAATAAACCTTTCTTAATACAGCTGGTTTGCAAAGCACTTCTGAGATATATCAATTGCTATCATAAATGACAATGGAATTGTATCGATTGTACCTTGGTCTGAACAATTGGCATGAGCATCAAATGAAGAGGTGTGCGATAGGATACTACGAAATGGATAAAATCCCAGAATGCAACGCCAACTGCAAGAAATACGTCAWACAATCAGTATATCATAGATAGCGGTCTGGCTTAATGTCTACGATCTATGGTTCGACACTTACTGACATGGTTGTCGACAATTCTATCAATGGCGTTGAATATCTTGAACCATTCTGTTGACAACTCATCYTCAAAGCATATCACGAGGACTTTGAGCCCTGAAAAATAAACAAAACAATTTATGACATATTTTTAATGTATTTGTAAGCAAAGCTTACAGAAGAAGCAGTAAAGGAAGGTGTCTGAGGAAAAACACACCTAGATATGCGGCAGTATACAAGCTATCAGGAATAGTRTCAATGTGTGTGCCACCAGTGTATGGTTCTGACATAGACATTGCTCTAACGGCTTCTGGGTCTTCTTCAATCAACGAGAGCCGGGCTGGAGGCAGAGCTGGTGTATCTGAGTTCTTTGTTGTAATAACGCGAAGAAAACACTTCAAGGCAAATATCACATCGTCGGGGGAGGCCTTGGGAGCTTCTGGATATAGAAAATAAACATACGTAGAGTATCAATTAGAATTGGAAAGCTGTCAATCACTAAATAATAGCTGTTTTATATTTTGTTACTAACCAGGACGACGTGAACCAAGACGTATTAGAATAGGAAGCAGTATCCTGATAAAAACYTTTTCAGTTCTGATAGGATAACCAAAGTCCGAGCTTCCTCCACACAACTCTTGCAGCGTGTACTCGTTCTTGAGGAGAAACATGAGTCTAGAAGCTAATCTCATGATGGTTTCACAGGAAAATGGTGGCGGCGAACTGATGGGCGCCATAGGCAAGAAGGCTGTTAGGGAGATTGTGACKGAMGGACGCTCCTCTAAGACAAAACTCATGCATGTCGTAACAAGAGACTGTTGAAGGAATGATGGATTAAACAACTTARTATGGATTAATGATAGAAAACTGAAAAAATGATGATAGCAATGATTACCTTCAAGTATTGAGATTTGGCAATGTAAGTTTGACGACACAACACCAAATAGATTCCTGAAAATAAAACGTTATTAAGCAAACAACAATAACAATAACATCAGCAACAACAATAAAACAACGACAACAACAGTAAAAACAACAAGCAAAACAAAGAAACAAAAGAAGTAAACAAATATCAGTCATCTCATCTCACGATGCTTCTACCTTTCACGTAACAATCCAACGCCTTCCAGTCGATGTTTCTCTACGGATATTAATAGAGCAACACGTTGAATTAGAATTTGAAAGTGATATCTACAGAGGTAACGGAAAACCAATTTACCCTCMATATTTGTTTATTGACAAAGGACTGTATGGAAGATATAACATGAAAAAGAATAGGTTCTGTTCATGGATGGACGTAACGTACATGATGACACGTGTCGCAAACAACGGTCGAAGGCAAACGTGGTAGAGTGTTCATTGATACCTATGAATTATTRCAGTGTACTCCGAGAACGTATCGGTGTTTGGGCCAAATGGATGAAATGCAATGTCATCGATGGCTGAATCTAGCGAATCTATCAAATCGAACAGAGGACAACATGCTGAAGGCACACAATAACTGGTGTTTTCGTAACGTTCTTGCACTCAGATGTCCTCGCGCAAAGTGTTAGAAACRATAAAGATACGAGTCAGTGTGACGCGGGTACGAATGATCTTGGTGAATAGTCCCGTTAAACACTATGCAGTTGCTATGGTGACGATAGAACGATGACTGACGTCGAGTTTTTTTGGATTTTTCAATGTCTACCTTAAATGATTTTTTCCGACCCTTAGAATCTTTGACCTAATAAGAAAGACATTTCCTTAGTAACCTCCGAGATGCTGAAGACTCCACTCKGTTGACATTTCAAAAAGCGCTTTTTCGAAACTAAACGATAATCTTGAAAATTCCCTACTGGAAAACASAGCAATAACAACAATGCTGCTGCCCCTATRCTGCAGGCTCAATTGTACTTACCACAAGGTCGGGTTTCTGGATGAGTTTATCAAAGATTTTACTAAGTCTCTTAAGGACCAGATTGACAGCAGGCTCGACAGCYTCAGGCAGCCAGTCAATTATCGGCAGGGCTTGAAKCATATATCTATAAAAACCGTATTAAGTCAAAAAAAGGTTTTCCATTGGAAATCGACTTTAATACGATCGATAATYATGCTGRRATACCTTTGTACACCAGGGCTRCTCATYGTTACCGGGTCATACACCGCTAGCTTCATTAAAGAATACATGATCTCGGCAAGTAGCTGAAACAACAACCAAATGCTTACTATTAACACAACTGAATTCACGCTCAATACTCATAAACTCTTAGATGTATGGAGAATGGGCTAGAAAAATATTAATCAAAAATATGATATAAAAATAAGAGATGGTAAAAAGAAAGAAAAATAGGAAAATCATTGCAATCCGCCGTACTTACAATGATGCTGATGTCGTCAAGAAGGTCAGGTATTACAAATCTTGCCGGTAAAACTTTTTTAATTTCCTCAACACGTCGAACACAAATACTGACATAATCGGCCACCAAGACGAGCAGTGCGTTGCGCGGTTTTCGGTACTCTTCAAGGGCTTCCATGACCTCGTTCTTTTCTTCCTGTGCCCGCAATCTTTCAAGCAGCGGACGACCGTGTCCTGTGATGTCATCAATTTTTAGCAAAATAAATGACCTTTTAGCTAAGAAACACTAGACTACTTCTTGACAAACTTCAACATAACTACATAATTTGATTACTATATTAAGTGTTTTTTTTCTATCAAAATTCTGCATTGAGTCCTACCCAGTAAACTCCAGAAAGCATGCACTCAACGTAATACTAAGGTGTACGAATCGTTCTTTGATCCCATTCAGTGGTAAAAGCGACTTACTTGTTTCTCCGTCTTCGTCGTCGTCTTCATTCTGCGGTCCGTCGTAACTACTTATGCTACCTTTGCTTATATTGAGGGACGTCGTCGATTGCCAGCCGCCATGCTGCATGTGTGTTCGGTCTGTCATGGACTTCAACGTTTGAAAGTGGACGAAAGATCTGAGAAAGAATGAAATGAAAATAAAGTAGGAATGGAAATCGTATGTTCGTAGATCTGTGCAGTTGAGTTTATGAGGGGTATGAAGTGTTTGGTTTCATCTTGACAACAACAAAGAAACATTGATCGTGCAAAGATGACCTAAGGGGTGGAGGGGTGCAGAAAATATTTTTACCTTGTTAATACATCAGAGCTCTTGATAAGGACCTTAATTAATGTACTGAGGGAAGTGATAGCTTGACCTTCTTGTTTCACYTTCTCGATATCACCCGTTTGACTTCCATTCGACAAGAATTCCAGGTAGTATGGWAGTATGGCTGACAGGACAACCTAGTGGTACAAACACATTTGATGAAACATCGACTACACTGAATATTATAAAGTAAATAAACACCTAGACGCTCGCATATGTATACATACCAACATTTGAGCAGCTCTCTTTGATTCTGGAGCAAAGTCTACAACAGTTACACAAAGACGGATAGCTTCATCGACTTTGCTTTCACCGTCAGAATCTGTAGTGTCAGTGTAACAAGAGTCCTGGCGAAATAAAACATSAGGCCTTATTTTACAGTTGTGTTTTTGTTCAGCAATAAAATAAATTTTRCACGAAAGAAGACTTTCTTTTTACATATGAACAGCGACAGCGAGTGAAAGACTTGAGACGGCTGAGCCATTAAAGAGGAAGTGTCATGATAACTGAGTAACTGATGATAGATATGATGATAAATGTTTTAAAATGTCATTTCATTACCTACTTCAGCCTTAACATAGACTCAGGAAACTTACCAATGGTTTGAGAGGCTTTTTCTCGGTTACAAGTTCCAGTATATCAAGGTTGTCCGGGGTAGTGACGTCCAARGAGTTCAGCAAGTTRAATAAACTCTTTGGRTGGACCTTTGAATTAAAAACAAAAAAGAAAACAATGTCAGCACGTAGTACTTACCTGCAGCAGTAATTATAGATAATAGGATTTACTTACTAAATCAAGAGCCTGACTATCGCCATCTGGGTTGGCAGGATCCTGGAGCTTTGTGTCAACTTGTAATATTGGTGCAACACTGGCCAACAGCTGAGAAAATATAAATGATATAAGCGGTGATAAATAAGAAGTGTAGAACTGTTATGATGGTCGAGTGTTGACCGTATTATCAGTTGCAACTATGATGGCTGTGGCAAGCAACTGTACAAGAAAMTTCTCGTCTTGTATTAACAAATTTTCATTAAAGTTTAATTCCTATTTTATTTGTGTACTTGGTACTGTTGACGTCTAGCTAAACGTATGAATTTGAAARCAAACAGATTGAACATTATACCTGGAGTAAACACGGCTTCTGATGAAGTATGTAAAACTGGCTCATGGTAAACTGAAAAACAAACAAAAAAAAACATTCCTAGCATTGAGAGAAAAATAGAAAACCGCATAAAACAAACGCAAAAAACGCATACCTCAACAGCTTGCTTGACCATTTCGTTCCCCTGGTGATGAGCATACACTTGAAGAAGTGATGGAAATACAAACTGGAATCTGTAAAAATGCTTTTAAGTTGAGCATGCGCAGTAATCGGTTAATTACGAGGCTATCCCACATGGTCTAGCTGACTAATACTATACTTACCCATCACTAGTAAAGATATGGGCAAAATGGATTGATATGTTGATCAGCGATGCCATACAGAGACGCACCATGGCCGTGTCTTCACAGTGAAGAAGRTGTGACCCGTTAATAACATTCAGAAATAGCGTGAGGTCTGCAAAGGTCCATGGGAAGTCACTAGGCATACACTGAAGCAGGGACAAAATGAGCTGAAAACGAAAAAAATGAAAATCAATAAATTATACACGAAAGTGCTTARSGTGCATTGCTTTTTGATAGTGTGAAAATAAGCAACGCTATTCAATACAATAGAACACCGTGTAGCTGACCCTTGGAGGTAGGCTGGTAGTGTAGGGAAAGGCAGAGTAGGGGTGGGGTGGGGCAGGTTTCTTTCTACCCAAATGCCAAAGAGACCGAGACCAGAGATACCATAAAAACCGTCAACCTACATACGTCAATCACATGCCGAACAATACTTACCTCAACCCAATGCATTTTGTGGATTACGTCCATACCAAACAGCTCCTATAAAATGACTATAGTTAGCTAACAATAAATGTCTGGCTTGCGTTTCATTACGCAAAGTATTTACGTATACGTAGCCCCGATTACGTATACACAGTAGAATTTTAACGTACACGAAATCGCAGTGATCGCTATTAATGTGTAAGCGGCCTTCAAAACTTACGTTTCCTTTAGCCCCATTTCCATACAACCCAAAGTCAGAGGCTAGAGCCTTCCTTGGGAACGATGTCTGCCGGCTAAACTCTTCGTGTAAGAAAGATGAATGTTTCTGAAAACAAAATAAAAAAACAGTTGAAGTATTTGTACATCTAAAAAGTATCTTTTCTTAGCAAAGAACCGACGCTGAATACAGCAATAATAGATAATGTACATAGCTGTACATAGTTACAATTTACCTGGTTTGGTAAGGCCTTGAGTATTGACTGACACAGCATAATGCGACCGATGTCCGACAGCTTGTTGGTAAAGGCCTAGTGCGAGTTAAAGACATCAATAATCAGCCCATGGGAGAAAATAATTTGTATCAAAAGTACTTGCAGTACCCCTAGACAGTATGATTGCCTACTTACCTGTTCTTGTCTCTTCAAGAAGGCCTTATCGTAATCCACAAAATCTAGTCTTAATTGTGGACTAGGAAAACCTTTTCTGAAGGCGAAAACATCCCGAACGAAATCCTGTTCCTCGAGGATTTGGTCTGTAAGTCATAAAACGTCAAATGGTCACGGGTGAAAGAGATAGGAAGCCCGAGTAACTTGACTTACCTGACTTCGTATCCAGTAGATATAAATTTTCCTCAGTCAGGTTAAAACGTTGCTTTAGGTACGTGATCACTTTCCCAAATGTCATTTCCTGGAATTCACAACAACATAGATTCCCTGGCATCATTTGAAAGAATGAGTCTGGAAYATGACAGCAATTGATAATACTTACATCACTAACTGGCATTCGTTCTGACATACTTTCTTTACCACAACAAGTAACTGCCAATTTCTTAAAAAAGAACATAGAACAGAATGCAAATCATCAGTATATTTTCTCACTTAATAAACACTTACATGTTTTGGCAGAGGAACTACGCATAGGGACCAAAATAMTTGTTTTTGTACTCACCTTGGTGCCTGGTACATTGGCAAATATAAGCATGGCACCCTGAAAGAGGAAGAAGCCGCGTTAAGTATTGCGCGATCGAATATAAAGGAATGAATAATAAGGAAAAAAATAAAATTTTTGCTAATAATCTCTTTCCATTTCTACACTTTACAAAGYTTTACAACGTGTTGCTTACATCACAATGTTCTTTCTTGAGTGATTGTTTGATATCCTTAAAGTACAGACCACGTACACTAGACACGAGCTGTCGAAGGAATCATAAGCATTGTTGTAAATAATAAAGAAAAGCAAAAAACACCGGCCAATAACAGAAAAAGAAGAGACAACAAAATAGCGACAAGACAACTATTGGAAACTGATGATTGATTTAATACTAACTTCACTCTCACTGAGTTCCGATCTACCATGACAACTTAATTAAAGGCAGAAGGTAAACATACCTCCCATGTCAGAGAAAGGATCAACGCCACGGAATCCTGGGAACCAGCCCTATTGGTACGAGCATAATACATGACCACGCCCACCTGTCAAAAAAGCACTATTTCAACAAATGGAAGACAAGATAGAGCATATCACTTGAAAAGGTGAGATTAACAACCAGTGACGATAGATACGAAAAAAGAAACTGCTACTAGGTACAGGGGCTTGGACAAAGCGAGATTAATGTCATGTCAATGTACCATGTATCTGTGATGATTATATGTCATACTTACCAAGTTGTTCAGAAGAAATTGTGCAGATTTAGGAGGTAGTTTATCAACATACATGAAGAGTTTTCTGATCAGACTAACCAGTTCCTCCTACAAACAAAACATTTGTTGATGACATTTTTTCCCAAACATTCACCGATTAAAAGTAGTAAATCATCTAATACAATAATAATTAATAATAATGTTTAATTTTATTGCTTTCCATTAATTCATTCTTTTCAATTCCCACTTATTGTTAATCAATGAGTTTAGGTGATGATGTTGACCTGCTTGTCTCTCTTGGTGATGTCCTCTAGGATAGTACGAAAGAACAGTACTGGATCCTCAACCAAGCAGTTCCAGATAATACGATACGAAACATCCATGACTGAAATAAGGTTAAACATAAACACTATCACTACACATAGCCAACGCTATTATTCATTATCCCCATATATATATTACACTGAAATAAGGTTAAACATAAACACTATCACTACACGTAGCCAACGCTATTATTCATTATCCCCATATATATATTACAATTGCCATTATTTTATAATCCCCGACGTCAACACTTCCACCAAAATTATCATCATCACAATTATAATCGTCAGTCCCAAATGAAGAATTAGAACAAGTACAACTTTAAAATGTGGCCCATTCTGCAAAAATACATTACAACAGACTATAACACGCTACTGTACTAAAAGTATAATATATATCTTAATAGTACTCATTAGATCAAAACAAGTGTACACATGACGTAATATGCCGGGGGGAAGGGGGGGGGGGTGTCCGTTGCTAACCTGCAGTCTTATTGCTGTCCACTAACACATCGTCGAGTAGTTTAATAATGTGAGGAATGGCTGATGATAACGCAGAAGGCCAAAGCTCTGCATTTACCTGATGACTACTCTCTAAAAAGACACCATCACATTACGACAATAGTTCGATTGATTGCTGAATAAAACCCGATCACAGGTACGACGATTGTGCGACATTTTCACGATAGTATGCGTCAGCCTCAGGTACGACAACATTGCACGATCATAGCACGACCATACCACGATCATAGCACGACGATAGCGCGACAAATTGTGCGATAATAGTTCKCGAATAATCATATGCGTCAGCGTAGCAAGTACGACGACTGTACGATCAAAGTACGATGATAGCGCGAGTAATTCCCGACAACCGCGATCAGAGTATGGCAATCATAGGGAAACTACACGAAAGAAAGCACGTACGATAGATGTCAGCGTCAATACGCATGCATTATCGAGTCATGCACATTACTAAGGAACGCATAAGGAACGTTAGGTGAACATGCAAGCGATTATGRTATTTAGTGGTTATGATGGTTACCGGGAGGTGTTGAACCGTCATCCTTTGCACGACCTTGAATCGTCTGCTCCCACTTTAGATGGAACCAGGGTAAGTGTCCTGAGCGTATGAATGTAATTGAAAAAAAAATAATGTATTTTGATTGGTTTATTTAGTTCATTACGTCACAAGCAATGTTAGATTATCATTGGCCAGGAAAACACTTCCCGCCAAAAGTCATGCATTTAATTTCATGGGCTCAATAATGAAAAGCATTCAACGTGATTTCTAGTAGATTATAATTGGGTAGAATTACGTCATTCAATAATTTCTTGTGAAATATGAGCCGTTTATAGTTTGCTTTATATTAGCGCGTTTGATGATATCATGTATGGGTTGTTRTGGTAACAGGGTTGCTATGGTGACTATGAACATTGTCTCGTAGGTGGTGCCAAAACAATGGTCGAGYAAGAATTATGATTAACCCATACCAGCCCTGTCCTCGTCATTAGAACCAAACGTTGCCATTAATGACACAGGGAGGGTCCTCAAGGGAAACGCTTCACGCTGCTTCCTTTTCATCTCAGCTTGCTCGGCTTCTTTGACCTTTTTCTTGTCTTTATTCTTGGATTTCTGGTTCCCAGGCTGCTCCTCCAGCATCATTACCGGRTCCCAGGGACAGTCTGGGGCGTGATTAGCTGACATTCCAAGTGGAGGGGAGGGGAGTGTAAAGTCGACTTTAGGGGGTGGTACCTATTAGATTAAATCAAATTCAATTTTAGTTCGATTCATATTACTATGAATTATTCTCTCGTTCCTAATATCTTACCCTAAGTGTATATGAAGCACCTTCTTCGAGTCTTGGCCAGGCATGATACCTTGACTGCCAAAGAACTTCATATCTAAACAAAGTATACGGCGATATAAAGAGGATTGTATTCAGTAGAGTTAGTAGTAAKCCGTCTGTCTTCAGTGTACTCTTGATCTCTCTTGAATGGTTAAAGCGACAAGTTTGAACAACGGTTTACCACTTACCTAAGTAGGGAGTTGACTCTATCATCAGGGTCGCTRCAAGTTAACTCTTTGTACAACAACTCGGACACTTTGTCCTTGAGACGAATACCAGACAATAGAAATACCGAAGCTGAAAAAACACACCATACGTATCGATCATTATAGACGCAACGTCTAACAAATATGGCTATTGGCTGATATAACAACCTTCCTRATTGGCTTACCAGCTGCAGATACAAGTTGTTGGTCTCCATCAAGTAGTAGTTCCCAGGACACTGGCAGAGTTTCTTCGAGTAGTTCTCGATCGACTACCGTACCGGCTTTAGCGATGAGAGTAAATGCACAATGTGTTAATCCACACAGCTACAAAAAAACAAATAGACCACAAACAGTGATTTTACATTGAAAAATCAAGAAACATTTGCAGATTCAAATAGAAAATGGTGAATCACAACAAATCTCAAATTCCACTCACTTTACTTTTAATAAAGTCCAGCATAACCTCGTCTGGTTTGCCTTTAGTACTTTTAGGATCAAATCCTGAGCAAACGCTGTGCTGAGGCGAGCCGATATTAGCTTTACTCTTACTCTTATCCAGCCTTTCCGGTTTTTCTCTCTCCTTATCAGCAGTTTTTTCAGGCAAGCCTGAGTAGACGTTTTGGAGTGCTTTGATAAGTCTTGCACAAAGTCGAGTTTGTCTTTGATGACAATTTGACGGACACCTACAAAACAGAATTATCATGAATAGTCAACTTTAGATATTTTGGTTCGATGACTATGTACAAAAGAACGCACACGAGGCTCCGGGGAAACAATGGATAATCTTGATTTATTCTTTTATTTCCCCGGAGCCTCGTCTGCAATTCTTTTGTGCATGGTCACTGAACCAAAATATCTAAAGTCGACTATTATAGTCATTATTTACAATGAAGCCGAGGGAGGTTTGGGGACTAGATGGACTGACGTCACTATTACCTTGTTTGGTGATCACACAGGTAYGACGTAAAGCTATTCAGTATTGTTACAGCGTTAAGCCATGGAAACCTCGTGGTTTCATCATCCTCAGAGTCRTCGTCTTCRTCATGGGTGCCRTAAGGACTGGTGTCAGGGCCACTTTGTCGCTTTCCTTTGATTGTACCTCTTTTCTTCTTTGGTTGGGCGCCTGTAAAGTCACTACCAAATCCAAGACTTGATCGAGCGTTCCTGAATGTAAAGCAACTCGGTTATCTAAGTCGTAATATAATTTAGTGCTCGACATACGTAAGGCGACCTATCTTGTTCCAAACTTAACCAATAACTGTCTATTCAATTTTACTTAGACAACTTACTTGTTCTGTTTTGGGCTCATGCTACCGATACTAGAGCGGGGCAGGTGCAAACTACTTCTTTTCGGCGAGGAAGCGAAATCAGGTCCAACGTCTGACAGCTTTCTCTCACGATTACTCATGTCAGAAGCTCGTCTTTTGAAAAGAATCGAATCATCTGATGATTTAACATCCTGGTCGGGAAAGATGATGACAGGCTGAAAGTACAAATGTACAAAGTTAGTATTGACTGATATGAATGACTTCTTTGATTACATYACACCCACCGGTGGCTCATGTGGGCTGCTTCTTCCAGGGCTGTTGCTGTTACTCAAAGTAGTGCTCAATTCAGACGGCATCGAACTCTGGCTTACAGCACTTATTTTGCGAATTCTTTCTCCTCCKCCACCGAAAAATCCACTCATTCGGTTTGGATGCGGGTCATTGAAATGTGTGGAACTGAAAGACAACGAGAACATGTCAGTTTGTCATGTGAAGGTTCCAGTGGTTAGTATTACTCATCCTCGCTCTCAATATCTACTCAGATTGTTTTCACGTACGATAGCCTTGCTTGAAAGACCTTTTAGCAAATTAATAGCAATGAAACTGCAGACGTTTCCATATGAGTATTATTATGTAAGAYTTAATTACCGTCGTTTCTCGGCGCCCACTGCCCCACCGAAACTCTTCCTTCCTCTGACTCTGTTTTGCATCCCTTTACTGTCCCGTCTTATCTGGTACAATCCATGGCTCTCGCGCAAGAACGCTGTGATTTCTATTAGCAACTGRCATGCGATCATCTTTARTCCGTAAGGACACGAAAGGCTAGACTCACTGAGGGTTCCTGGCAATAATTAACACACACACATATTTCTCAATATTAGTATATGGAGCTTCATGGAATCGTCAGTAATATCTAGGATACAGAGTAGTGACAGTCAGTGCCATTTACTGATGATCATTCCATTCATTATTGGATGCATTAAAATACTTCGCACCTTCGTCAAGAAAATCTTCCTCAAGCTCCTCATCTAACAGCTCAGCTTTCTTGCCTTCCTCTTCTTGAATKGATGGCAAACTTTGTCGTTTYTTCTTTAGAACGATTTCGAGTTTCTGTCCAAGTGCCACGCCCCAAGCATGGAACAGCTTGCCGGCCTCGTGCATGGCTACGAGGTTGCGTCGTGGCGTGGATAGGGAGATTTCTTTGGGGGCGTTCCCCTTGCGTTTAGCTAGGCTAGGATGGCTACCACGTAACCAGGTCGGCCAGTCTCCTCGGTTACAACGGTTGACAAGATGAGCACATTCTAAGAGTAACGATGCACGGGCTACAACTGGTGCTTCCTAAGACGATCAAATATCGATTTGAGTACATAATGCCGATGAAATATCGATCCCACACAATTTCAGTGCCAGAGCGTCATCGGTTAGCTAAAAATATAAGTACATGCATAGTAAACTTACCAAATCCAACATGGCTGCCACTATGCTTGGATCAGGCACTGCACCTGGTTGTGATGCATTCATCAAAAATCGCAATCGAATAAGTCCGAGTCGAAGCGATTCGATATCGACAGGACGTCGTTCGTACTCGKGTACGACAACATCAACGGTCGGTGAGCCATTATCTGGCAATGATGACGATGATGAATTGATAAGCTTTTTTCCAGACTTGATAGGAAAGACTTCGTCTAATCTTTTTCTACTTCTCTCTTTGAAAAGCTTTTTCTTAAGGCTAACTTGTTGCACGGAACCYTCATTGTCATCTAAGTTGTCGTCATCACTATCGTATGTTTGACCCATGGCACGTTGTTTACGCCATGCACCAAGRCTAAAAATCTTAAAGAAAATAATCATTAAAATGGCAAAATGGCAAAATGGTACTGTACTGAGCTGCGTTGGGCCTGAACACAATTTAGTCGAAATAACTATGAAGAGTTTCTAGAAGAATTCACGCAAAATACCTTCCTCTTTGATCTGGGTGACATTGTTTCYTCAAGGCTTGTACCATCAAGCGTTCTGCTACTACTGACAGAAGACGTCCCAAGAGCACGAAGATCACTCTCTGAACCGTCATTTCCTCGACCAAATTTCTGACCTTTAAAGAACTTTCTTCTTGTTGACTTTGGCGTTAGTTTGTCACTCTTGGACACACTCCCTTCTTTTTTCATCGCTCGGTCTCTGTTGGGCAGGGGGGTTTGGGTTACACTTTTATTGCCAGAATCGATTTCCTCTTTTCCTCTGCCTGAAGTAGATAAAGCATCATAATTATAAATATTGTCATTAATAAAGTAATGTAAGCAATGCCTGCTTCACGTGAAGCTGTGTACCTTTGTACGCACAGTCCATCAATCCACTCATMGCGACCTTCCAGAAAACACCGCCATAGTTGTCCTTGATATAACGCAGTAACTGCCTTAACTCTCCATAAAACGTCTAGAAAACAAACAATAATTACAGTACGTTACGGTCTTTCTAGCCCCTTCAAATAAAGAATCTCCAAGAAATTAAAACAAGCAGGAAAAAGCCGACAACTAGAGTTAGCCTGACTACGTTGACTAACTGGCAGATAGGAAAACAAACTTACCAACGCGTCTAGCTCWGTCAACTTCATCTCAGCGACACGGCTGACCAAAGGCTTTAAAACAGCATCCAGTATGACTCCTTCAACGCCTTCTTTCACACCAAACAACTTCCCCTTGTTCTTCTTGGCTGCAGATTCGTCTTCTTCCATTGCAAACGGGTTGCATTCTTCACAGAAACCAACCAGAGCGTGCAAAAAGTCGACAAGTTCTTCAACTGGTTCGATCCTTGAGTAGTTATACAGCCATTCTTTGAATGACTTTTCATCTTGTTTATGTAAACTTGCTAAGTATGCGTTGGACTGGTCTCTAAGGATATCGCCCTTGTATGCATGACAACCTTCGCCACACCCTGAAACAACAAAAAACAGATATGACTTCGCGTTGCAGGCTACAAGAAAGCCGCTGTTTGAAATTCTTACCTACTGGACAGCCCAATGCCCTTATGAGACGAAATCCACAGCCACAGGACAAGGAATGGATGGTCGGAGGTCGGCCATAGAAGGTGGTTCTAAGGCGAGATAGAATAGTATCCGTCTGATGGGTCCTTGCACCAATCGCTACACACTCGGTGACAGTTCGATCATCCATGACAGGAGCAGGAACTGAGCTGCTTCGATGCTTCTCTTTATCCTTCTCAATAATAGCATGTAAAAGCTCAAGTACTCGTARTCCCATCTGACAAACACGGCCRCTTAGGTTTTCCTTTAAAACGCCATTAACAGCYTGCAAAATCACCATGATGCTCAATCTGCCATCTGTAGTGACGTAATCACCAACACCAGGAAATACCAGGTAGTGCTCTATACGAAACGTAGAATCACGGAAACCACGACCGCTACGACGAAAGTTTCCTACACTTGGCTGAAGACTAACAACATCGGCGGTGTCCTCTGTACTACTGTCTCGTGCAAGACTACGTTTATCAGTGTCGCTAACTGGAAAATCCGAACTGGCAGTCTCGGACTTATGATCTGGRCCTTTAGGATCTGGATGTTCTGACTTTGGGTCTTTATCAGATTGGTTAGCTGTGTCAGCAGGYGGCTCATCACTACTTAAGCTTGATTGCTGTTGAATGTTCGTTTTAGGGTTTGTCTTAGAAAGGTCTTTGTCGCTACCTTCGACAGCAGTATCTTCGCTCTCAAGAAGACTTGTTATGCTAGAGATGGACTGATCAATGCTGTTATCAACAGCCATATTATCATCGTTACTTGATAACACAACAGTGCCATCTTGATCACCAAGGGATGAGACTGATTCAAGACTAAGCTCACTGCTAGAACCCATGTTATTCAAAAGAGTAAAGTGATTCATAAGAGTTTTATCGACATCTAAAACCTTAGAATCGCAACTACCCGTTGCACTGTTGGATATTCCCGTTGTGCAGGAGTTTGACTCACTGTCGCTCTTCAAACTGCCTGGTTTATCATCAGTGCKTTTGGTAGAATCTTTAGTTGTGTTGTCAGCTGTACTTTTTAGAGCTTCCTTTCCGCTGTTCACTTCTTTATAAGTATTCACTTCATCGTTTTCGTTGTGATCTTCTTCCTCACTAGGRGACTTGGAGTTAAAGTCAAATCCTTCGTTGGTTGAGCCATTGATTTCATTCACGACTTCYACTTGGGTAGGTGTGCTAGGAGTTACCATAATGCTGAAGTATTGCTGAGAAGGAACGTTGTCTTTTCGTCTYTTCGTTGTGTCAGCAGTCTTRTCAGATGTGTACGAGGGATGACGGTCAACACTKATTCTTAGTTCAGTGACATTTTGATTTTCATCTTCATCAGATACAATAAGTTGCGCGGCRTCATCATCTTCAATAGTAATCTTAACATCTTCAGGTTTTCGTTCAGTTTCATCAGTCGGTGTGGCGCGTTGATTCCCATTGTCATCATCTTCGTTGATGATGTTGATTTGSACGTCGTGTTTAGAAGGGGTGGGGTCGGGCTTTTTTGCYGGCACAGGATCGTTAAGAACACACCCACCAAAGCTGTCTAAACTTCCTGCATCATCTCCYCCGCGCATGCCCCATGATGTGCCACTGGCCGAAGCAAAACTCTGCTTCTCTTTTGCGCCAGGCAAGTCATACTCTCGCCTAAGGTAGTCTGCAACATATATCAACGACCAATAGACACCTTCCTCACACCAACCACTCGACAGTAAACACCGTAGAACGGCTACATCAAAGAACGTCGCGCTCCTCATAACCGACTCCGGTGCAGCCGATTTCTTGGAACCAACATCAGACGATTGACTATTTCTCGCTGTGTTATCATTGTTATCAATCGACATTACTTGGCTAACAAAGTCCTCAGTATTGGGATCTTTGTACAACACTGCTGTACAAAATGCCGGCAATTCTGGAGCTTGATGATTCTGTAAGGGCTTCCATAAACCCAATCCAGTTTCTAATTTGTTCGTCAAGTCTTTTTCTTTGATTTTGAAGGCGTGGGGGACCAGTAAGTGGACAAATAACTCTATAGTTGATATAGGATGTAACAGGTTTTCTGGATCTTCAATCCCGCAGATGCCAGGAGCTTCGAAAAAGATCCATTGTAGAGTATAGATTAGATCTCGTTCGGGGTTCGTAAGACGGTCAAAGTAGCCAAGCTGATGTCGATTGCTGAGCAAAGCACTGCAACACTGAATGATATATGCAAGAGAAGAATGGACGAAAAACCACCGAGGAACGCTCTTGAAGGCGCTGGGAAGCCCTTGCAAGTTGTTATCGCAAATAACATTTTTTAGTGACTGAAAATAGACATCGCAATATATTACKTCAAAGGGATTGAAAGGGAGGTAAAATATACCAATTTGTTAAATAACAAAAAGCACATRGCAGGGAAGGGAGATAAGTTGTACACTACAGGATATGGTTGTACAAATCATAATTTCTGTAGATTTTGGTCACACTCTTCAATTTGCATCTTGACATATTTAGACTAACCTCTGATGATGCTTCATACTCTTTCTTTTCAAGTTTTGTCTTCAAGAGAGGACTGAAAGTAAACGACAAACAATAAAATCCTATTTATCTATCTCTCTCAGTGCATTATAAAAAGCAGTATATAGACTAGCATACTATGAACTATATCAATTGTTGAAAACGTGAACATTCTAAAAATACTATATGTGTCTTGTAAACACTTCATCTAGATGAACAATTGTTTTATGCAAATGGCAACAACAGCTTTTTTGGAAAACAATCTGACAGATGCCTTGTTTGTCAACTTAAAGCGTTCTAGTAGAACAACCATTCGTGTTAAATGCAGTAATAGAACTGAAAGTTAAGAGAATTAAATGCACTCCCATTTAAGATCTCCTGAAAATATTCCATTCATAGTTAAGTTTGATGTAGCCACATTATCAGCAGACACTTCATTCTGGGTGAGTGGGGCCTGGGCCTTTTGGTTCACAGTCCTCCCTTGATTATACCAGGAAAACAGGAAGCCCAGTAGAAACAGTAGACAGAAAAGGGAAGAGAGGTTAATTTTGATGGATACATTGCATCCTTACAAATTTGCTAAAAGTTTAGTTAGTGATTTTAAATAATGGATAATGATTAATTGTATCAATAGCGAAAATAGTAGTAATTACATAAATTGCGAATAAAGTTGTCAATAAATAATTACAAACAAATAAAAAGATGAATAGGTGTCAAACAAACATATTAAATTCCCAACCTGTCATTGATTGGTTGAAAGCAGAAAGGTTTTCCTTGAGACCTCATTAACATATTATTATCACCAAATCATTTCCGTAAAAAACTATAATCACATCAGTCTAGTACTCAAAACAAAATATTTTTAGCTGTGAAGCAAAGCAAATATTCTGCATATAATTCGAATTTCTGTTGCTAAATGATATACAAAACGCCATTAACAATCAACAATGAGTTTCAATAAATGTAAATCTAAGTTTAAACACATATTTCGTAGATCTTTTAACCGCAGTTCTTCTTAGATAGATAGCCAATTGATTCGAACAGAAAAAATATTCAAGTGTTTTTTTTCCCAGATCAAATCAAGGGTTATTTTTAAGAATATTATACTAAGAAAGAAAAGTAAATTATGTGACACACAAAAAGTCAAATATTTGGCATTTGTTATTGTAAATATAATATAGACTCTTATGGCATGAATAAAATTGCCAAAGATATAAGACGCGATCATCTCTCATGTAAACACAACATTCTTTTCGTTATTATATTCCTTGAGCACAGTGTGAAGTTTTAGGATTCACTCGATCTACCTGTACAGATTATGAGGCGATTTGAAAGGTTTCTCTTCAGAGCGGCTTAATGGAATACAAACGAAAAGAAACAAAWCAATTTCACAAATCAAAAGAAACGCTTGATCGCTTTGGTTTGCGAATCGAACTGATTACTATCCTTGCAAATGTAATAAACGAGGTTAATTGGTATTCTAACGCAGTAAAAATGTCTAACAACAAATACTTTAAACAACCTACAGCATCTATCTACCCACTATCTCATAGTCTATCGCCTAAAAGTCTTTAMATAGGAAGAAATGGTTTTACGATGGCGAAACAAGCACACAGATGGATAAAATGACAATCGACAGCCATATATGAGTTAGTGGGGGCTCAATGCCAGTTCCTAATATACACATAAATATCTAAAAGGTCCATTCAATCTCTATCAAGCCACAAAGCGCCGTTTAATATCGATAAAATACAAAATCATTAAATTTTTACTCGTTACGCCTAAATATTATAAAAATACCTTATTTGCTGCCAAAAGTAAGTCTGAATTGCCAAGGGAATCGATCGACGTTCAACATTGAACTCTCGAACRGCAAAACTCTTGCTTGCCATTTTGCGGTTAGTGGCCCAAGAGAAGTAATTTTCGGCTTACATCATGTCGTCCAAAAATCCATCAGGCTTTCTCTCGACATAAACCTGATAAATTATGAGATATAAAGATCCCGATTCATGTGGGTATTGCCATAGCCGTCAGCTGCAGGCTTCAGTGGCCATGTTTATCAGTGAACGCGAAGGCCTCTGGGTGGTTGATGAGTTTTTGACGTGTCTGATGTAAAATATGACAAAAATCTTTATGCAACCTTACAACATATGACGTCATATGCTATCATATGACAGTTAAAAATAGACCCAAGAGATAAGAAAAACCCTAAGGACCTAAATCTTTGAGTTATAAATATTAATCAAGATAATTTTAATTACAAAAAAGGAACACAACATTTTTTAGATGTTACTTTTTACTCAGCCTCAAACCGAAAATCAAGATCAAGCATATTTTGTAAAAATAGCAACGAATAAATTGAGTTTTCAATCATTGACGTCTTGGTCGTATGTGCCGATCTCAAAGCTAGATGRACTCCCTCTTGAAGTTCAAGTTTCATTTCTGAGGATGTGGTCGCTTCAAACCGCGGCTGCTACAGGGACACGTAAGTGCCCTGATAGAGTCAAGCAAAGCGTTTTTGTTTTCTTTAAAAAGGATCAAATTCCTGGTTTTCACAAAGAACCAGGGATGAAACGCTTGGTCAGGTTTTAAGTAACAATGCGCGCAAAAAGCAGGCAACCTTCTATTGTTCTGCGGCAATTGCAATTCCCCACATACGAATGTCTTGGTTTTCACACTGATTATATATCAACCTATGGGTAACACATTTTTAAAATAAAATATGCATAAACTCTGTTTTGAAACAAAGTTTCTTTTGTATTAAAAGATCTTGTCCAATCATAAGCACAAAAAATGCTTCTAATTTGCTATGTTCCCCACGTAGAATTGCTATTAATTTTAAAGCTAAGGAAAGCTTTTATGAAGTTAGAATCAGATATTAAATAAAATGTTAAAAAATGCGATTACTTTTGAAATTATGTCAGATTTTAATGTTTTGACCAATGAGATGGATGGATTATACAATACACAATTAGCACCTTCATGCATTCCATTTCCGTTTGCTTGCCTTCTTCTTACTCGGACCATTACTTAAAAGACACTCACACGATTCACTGTTCACAGGAGCTCATTACTTTCACTAGAGCCATTCTCTAGTGTCGAATCGATTTACGGATATCTCGTCCCGATAGAAATGAGAGGGAAAAGGAGCCTGTCTACCTACTATGGCTGTAAGTTCATGACAATATAACACTGAGCAGTTATCCCGTTAACTCTTATTTATTGTCATTTTGACTAATAAATTACAATAAAGTCAGTAAAATATTACCCTRGTTGATTACATTCTATACAAGATATAATTCCTCCTTTAGCTGGAKGCTATCTTTAAAAAACGTGCAAACAATGTCTCGACATTAATCTATATTCCAGTTCTACAAGAACTCATTTKAAACCCCTTTTTTCTCTGATCATCAMCATTTTTATTCATGATTCATGTCTGAAATATGTATTTTGAGTGTTTTCACTTCTATAGGCGACCAACACATTATGAATACAGAGGCTTGCAAACCTCAACTATATATACTATGTTCAAAAATAAATATGGTCGATTTGCTTAAAATAATTCAATTAATTAATTCGAATAATGAATAAATTAAAAATTGATTCTTTGTTTTTTCGTTTATTGCTATCATTTGACTCATCKCTCACSAGCTTGWTTTATGTGCGTGAAACTTTAATGAGTGCSTTGTAATTTAAGCTCGTTKGATTTCTATTTTTCATTTTTGCTTTAACCTTTTGGCTATTCCCCCTTGCAGACTATTTCTGGTGAAAAATGAACAAGTTTCAGTTCGCCAGAAACAGTGTAAAGGGAGACAACTTCCTGCCCAGCTTTTATTTACCCATATATTTACTCGATCTTTTGGAAATTAGTGAAAAGAAATCAAATAATGATGAGACTAACACAAATATTTTCGCTTTCATCGATTGAGTTCTTCGTCCTCTTCGYCTTCATCTTTGGTTCCAAGAGGAACTTCTTCGTAGCCACTAGTCTCATTTGCCCAGATTTGAACGTTTCCAGAACCGAAAATGATRTAGAAAATGGCTCCACACGCATAAACAACTGCWCCAATGTAAAACACCACTCTCCATTCCGAAGGATACTAGAATACACAAACGATGATTATTGGTTAATTGGTTAAATGAAAACCCTAACAATCTTAACGATACTGAATCAATAAGTCACTACTGCAATTGTATCAGATTTTAGTAACTTTTTGCGCTTGTGAAATTCAGTGATTAAGAAAACACGAAATGAAATAATATAAGGAACTAATGGGCGAACAAATGATCAAATGAATGAAAAAATGATAAACGGATCCATAAAAAGTAAGGGAGTGGAAGAGAAGAAGAGGATGCATCACTTTAAAAGATTYTTCGGTTGGTACTTACATGATGCTGAACGATAATTCCAGTCAACAAAGGACTGAATATTCCAGGTAGAGTGGCGATAGTGTTGCTGATTCCAATCAACACACCTGCGTACTGAGGTGCGATGTCAAGATGATTAACAAAGAAACCACTGTACACAAATCCATTCATGCCTACGGAGATTGTCAGGAATACAACCACTACTTTCCAGTCCCCAGTGTAACCAACGATTACTAAAGCCCCCGCCTGGAAAAAGAAACCTGGAAAAGATGTGCAAAACCATATACTTTAAAAAGTCATTATTTTCACTGAACATGTTGTAAAGAGTTATACATGTACACCATGATCACTATGATTATTAATGTCCTGAACGTCAGTAAGTTGTTTCACATACTTTTATACACAAGTGATCACTATGATACCTACCAGTTGAATTGCACAGTTTACGCACGTTTGTCGTCGAAAGGATCTTTTTCGTTCGTAAACAATCAGCCAGGTTTCCTCCAAGTTGTACCACTATCGCCATSACAAGATAAGGTAGCGCCGACACGAAACCAGCCTGGAAGAAATCACATAGGAAAAATTAGACTGGTCGGGTAGAAAGCCTTTAGAAAAGGACAGTAAAGGAGTAAGTAAAGGACATTTTGGGAAGTTTAATATAATGTTCTTTGAATATCAGAATCGCATATTCCAATAAATTTTTCTCGAGAATTATGTGAGATCCATACATGTGCTAGATCAAACTTGAGGCTGTGTTTCAAGTAGGATGGTAATTCAGTCAGCAAGGTGTAGAATCCCCAGTTTTCAGAGAAATGTGCTACTATTATAGCCCAGACTGGGAGAGATGTTGCAATCGATTTCCATGGAATTGGTTTGTGGGTTTCCTAAAGAAACAAAGACATAATGGGATTAATTATGGGAATAATTAATGAAAAAATAAAACATAGAAAGAGAAATAATAAACTAAAAAAAAAAAATGAGTGAACAGATAAGCAAACCAGAATATTATTTATGTTGTTTCAAATTTCACAATAGGTCAGTAAGTACGACGTTGAAACGTTGTGTACTATTTTCTTTGTTTTATGGGAAATAAAAACTGATGAAGTCAATCAATAATTAAATAAAATAATTAACCAATAAATTGTTAAATGGATCAATCAATCTATCAATACCACAAACTAAGATGAAGAACATAAAAATAAAGTAATAATCTACAAGAAGCAGTAAGCTTGAGATCACCTTAGTTGATGTTCCTCCTAAACGAATAGCACTTTCAATGAACTCGCGCTCTTCAGGGCTTATGTTAGGATCATCTGCAGGTGAATTTTTKACAACCAAAAACCAGATTATGGACCACAAAATCCCTGCAGAGCCTGAAAGAAYAATAATTCCCACAAATTAAACATAAAGTCCCTGATTCCCAAGAAAAATGGATATTTTATTACTGCATCTTGATAGATATTTTTATGAAAATCATCATTTTTATATAAGTGTTGATTTTTTTCTTGGCTTATAATATTATCATTTTGTTATTGTATGATATAAAATATAAAAAGCACATAATCTTTTTTTAAAAATCAACACTTATAGAAAAAATGATGATTTTCATAAAGATAGCATTAGGGAAGAACCATCAGTTTTAACAGCAAGCCTTCAATAAGTTTTAATGGACTCCTGGAGACAATTTACAGATAAGTTAAATTGCACCACTCAATATCATATACTTTAACAACCATTACTGAATAACTCTTAGTTAGTTGATTCTGATTGGTCATTAGGCTTACTTCAATAAAGCATGTACTTCAGTTTTCATTCCATAAATGGGATAAACAAACTTACTTCATGTGCTTGATCAAGTTATAAAACACTTGGGGCTAGTCAAAGCACTTTATTTCATTCCATTACTTCTCTAACACTCTTCTTGTGGTTTGCATATTCCTGGGTGTTTTACAACTCAACAAGACACAAGCTTCACAACTTTTACTCTTTAAAAAGAAACTTACCAAAGAAGTAAAAGATAGCTGGCCATCTTAGCGACTTGGCAATCACTCCTGACAGAGACATAGCCAATACTGTGCCAATGTGAGTACCTTGTTAAAAAGAAATGTCATGAATTATGAACAAGCTAATCATGTCAGCAAAGGCADGCTGTTGGTTAAATAAGGGTTATGACAATATTTCTGTTGGCTGTTAAAAAATGTTGATATCATACCTGATACAGCAATTGTGGTCAGCTTGCTTCTCTCAAGAGGTGGAGACCATTTACTCCACAAGGCATGATTGGCAGGAAACACKACCCCCTGATACAAATACAAAGTACATGTCAATAATTCACCAAAAATTCAACTAAGAATTCATCATTTTCAACWTATTTCATTCATTCCATCAATCAAGTATTAATCCATCCATACATGCACTAAAAAGTCAAGACATTTTCATGGTACATCAAACCTTAGCAATCCCTTTTTCTCAAAGCAACATAAAACATATAAGCATAATAGTTAAACATTTCCTCATTTTTTTCATGATAAACTAATATACCTCACAAACTCCTATGATGACTCGCAGTGCAATCAACACTCCTACATTTCCTCTCGCAGCAACAGGAATGAAGAGAGTAGCAGCAGATGTAAAAAACACTCCAAACCCAAACAGGTTTTTTCCTCCAAATTTAAGAGCCAATAAACCACCAGGCAACTGGGTCAAAATATATCCATAAAAGAATGCACCTAAAATAATACCTTTRAACAAAATGAAAGTATAAATGAGTGGGAAATAAATGAATGGGATAGATGTAAAGACAAAACAGGTAGGGGAGGGGAGGGTTCATGGAAATGAAGGAGATGTATTCCACCTCAGCTGATTACACTTGCCTTGACTTCTAATATTTCAGATATCACAAAAACCTCATCCAATAATTATTATTTTTATATTAGTAGTTTGYATCACCTTGTAGTTCTGTACTCCAGTTAAATTCAGCAGGTATCTGGAAATACAACAGTAATGACAACATCAGAATGAATAGTCTCTCTTTAGGCTATTTTCATGAAAGCTTGTCTGCTTTGCTCACTAASATTTTACAGACTTCTTTTAAGTCTAAAAAAAGCTATTATTATCAGAATATCATTAGAGACCATCTACAGGATAATATACCTCAACCCAAGATCCATCTTTGTATACRGTGTGATTTGATACCATTGCAACCAGTGCAATACTAAGGTTCACTCTTAAGGCATACACATTAGCAAAGCCAAATAGTGCTAGTATAGCCACAATGTATCTTTTAGCTGGAGGCCATGAGCAGCAACCRCATTTCTTTTGATTGCTTTCTTGGCTTTCACCAAACAGTTGATGGTCGTATGGTGATGTTTTGAAAGCATCATCACCTAAAGTTGACTTTTCTGCCATGTCTGGATACTTTGTTGCCTGGAATTTTCTTCACTAGATAGGAATTTGAATTAAAGTAGAAATGATGTTAGATGAATTGCATAAGATTTTGAGACTACATGACAAAATGCTTTTAATGTTTTGCAATATATATATCTCCCTTCATTTGTTCCACAATGTTATTACAAGTTGACAAAATGCTTTGAATGTTTTGCAATATATATCTCCCTTCATTTGTATCCACAATGTTATTATAAGTTGTATAGCCTTTATGTCTTTTGGGGGAGGGGGAGGGGGGAGGAAAATCCACAGAAAATGAATAATAATGAGATCATAATTTTTCTTTCTTTAACTTAAGAGCATTTTAACTTGAAATCTTGAATGCGGAAATACTTTTATTCACAAAATTTGCAATCATGAAATATTTTGGTGAACAAGGTTTTACATGTAATAATTTGTTGATAGCAAAAAGCTCCAATTCACTGAACATCGGTCTCGTTGAAATCATGGATTTGCATAAAGTTCATGTCATGAAAAACCAATTGATGCATGWAAACCTTAGTAAAGCTTATTGTTCCTTCTTAAACTGTCGTCTCTAGTCACAAAGAGTGCCAAAGATTTATATTAAAAAAGATAAGTACTTAAAACCAAAGCAAAAAGGTCAAAAGATCTTTTCTTTCGAAGGATGGTGTACGATTTTCCCGTTAATRTAAAATATAATAAAAACATCTTACCTTAACAAACAAATCAAGCAAATCAAGTCATTCTKGATCGTGATACATCAAGCCATCATCAGTTAAGATTGATTTAGGATTGAAGCGAAAGTCTCGCGGGAATATTAATTTATTTTCAGCATATTCTAGACGAACATTCGAAATCAAATTCTTACATCCGGACTGTCTTTTTCATACTATCACTCCTCGTTCTGTGATTGGTCAGACACTAGAAATACCGCTGACCACCAGCTGTCCTCTTGAATTTGAAGATATTTCTTGGTCATTCTTTCGCTAATATTTCTCTGCGATAAAAAGCGTTCTCAGCAAAATATCCCAGGCGCGGATCCAGGACTTTGAAGTGGGGGGTGAATTGCTAAAATAATGTAATAAAATGGAAGCCAAACGCCGAAGCCGGGAACCCCTAGGGGGTTGGGGGCATCCCCCCGAGAAATTTTGAAATCCAGACTCTCGGACATGCGATTTGCAGCGTTTTATGGGCCTTTTTAGTAACTCTTTATTGAACAAATTTAAGCGGAATTTAGTACGCAATGCTCACTTGAAGCAAAGAATCTCTCACGTTTAAAACTAGTATTTATCAAGAACAATGAGAGTTTACCGTGTACACACGAATATACATTACACCCACTAATGTCATCTAGGCTATTTACTGCCCCAAAAGTGATTGTTCCATCATCCTCCTTGGATGGAGTTCCATAAATGCTCGGCAAATAGTAGGTAGAATCAATCAGTCTTTGGAGAAATCAATTAATATTTCAATATTTGAGGGATAAGAGAAAAAAAAGGAAGAAGAGCTTAGAATAATGGGGGGTGGCTAGCCACCCTATTCACCCACCCTAGATCCGCCCCTGTATCCATATTTTACTCTGTCACGATTCTTATTCCCGAGCGTAATCAATGATCAGTTATTGGGATTCCGCGTCGTGGGTCAGGTGGGTAGTTTAGGGAACAGAGATCATTTTAGTAGGCTTTCAGTTTCCAACCTTTATTAAAAGTAATATCAATTAACATGTATTTCTAGTTTTTAAAATTAAAATTCTACTCCATGGCTTAGGGATTGTGTGGTTATGGCCTTTAACAACATATGATGAAATCCCAAATTGCAWWGTGGGGCGGGCGTGGTTGAATCAATAACTTGACCCGGAGCCTGAGAAATTATGCTTCTCGTCACCTTTCAGAGGAGGGTAGAACACACAAATGCTATGGCTGTCTTCTTGAAGTACTTCGTTGTGATGATTGTCATGTTTGTCCAGTAAGATCATTATACCATCACCAGTGACAGAATCCTTTTCATCAAATACCGCAGTCTCTGTCTCGTTGTTCCACCAGTATTGCACGCGACCCTTACACAGAAGATTTGCTTCAAAATGATTTTTGTATTCCAAGTTGACTTTTGTTTTAAGGKCGGGTACAGTGTTGTGCACTGAGATGTTGAAGCCGTCACTTTGTTTGAGAAACCTTCGGCTTTGACCWGCGCCAAAATTCACATCGCGATCGGTCCCCGAGATTTTTTCTAGGCTCAAGAAATAAGGTKGCGGCTGCTGGTTGGGAAGGCCTGGAACTGAGACGACGACCAAACGAGTTGAGGCTAAGGCAGTGATTGAGGCTTTGGTTGATGGTGAAAGYGCAAGCAGAGTGTTGTCCGTAAGCGTGAATTGATTGTCACCCTGGTCAATTTTCACTGAAGCTTTTCCTAGAAAATGAATAAGTCTCAAAAAGGCAACTGTGCAGCGACGCCATTTTGTGCAACAAAGTATGATTTATTTAGTTCGAATAATTTTTGTAAATTTTCGTGTCAATCATCCATGTCCTATTAACATTCTATTTATTCTTTGCAAAAAATAGTAGTAGTGGTGCCGGTTATACAAAAGAAAACATAAAACGGCTTTTAAGAAGATTTCAGGGGCTACAAAAAGTACAAGAACTGCATGCAATACCTGCGATGCAATACTCTAGCCTGCGTCACATCCGGACAAAACCACGGTTACCGTATTTACTCGAATAGACGCCGCGGCGTTTAATTCATTTTTCACGATCCAGGTACGGCGTTTATTCGAGGGAGGCGTCTATTCAGTTCTACTTTTTATTTTATCTTTTGGCAAACAAACAGTAGCTATTCTCAATATATAAATGTCGTGTTGATTTTGTCTATTTTTTTCATTTTTGTCTATTTTGTCTATGATTTTAACCAGAGTTAAACTTCTATTTCAACATCAATGTCCTCCTCGTGGTCGGAATCTAACAGCTGCTGAGAGCAAAAAAGTACAATCACTTCGAAATATAAAATGTTCTAAAAGAAAATAAATTCCAATTGCTGGTATCATTATTTCCTCAAATTGACGCTGCACCCACATGCGGCGTCTATTCGGGGACGGCGTCTATTCGAGTTAATACTTTAAGTCGGACTTTGTAGCCGGTATCCGGAATTTCTATCTAATTCCCGGATGTAATATTGGCTGCTGTAACACTGCAGTTAGGAGATCATATTGCAGTCTTAACCTCGAAAGCACGTAATGTATTCTTTACAAAGAAGACAATAAAAATTTATGCTTGATTGAATCTAAGCTTGCACAACTAAGCGAATTTGAAACTGCATACATCAATGCCTTTTACTGTTTGCATAAAGAATCTACCCCAAAGTATCTGGGAAGAACTCGAAACAGACGAGTTATAACACCACTTTCCCACCTAGTTTCCAACAAACCAACATTACACACCATTTTATGAGCTGCATGAAACCCTGCAACAGTATAATAGCCAAACAAATTTGATCATTTCGTTTGTGATATGGTTTCGCTAGATAGTCGTGCTCTAGCTACACTAATAAGGCATGATCGGCTTTACGCCAGCGATCCTGATATCGTACGTACACTGACCTACCATTAATACAGTAATAAATATGGTTGTGGTCTTGGTAAACTGGTGTAAGGTCGTGACTTTGGTCCTTTTCTAATAGAAACTGAGCCTCGAAAAAACCAACATTGTCTTCAAGGAATGTTAAAATCTTTCCTGACAGAGTTGTCTGACCAAGTTGTTCATCTGGCAATTCAGATAAAATCCTGGATTTCATTATTKCAAGACACTACAATGACTGCGTTTGTGTCGGCGGAGGTTATTATGCTGTGACRTCTGACCAGCGAACTGTATCATTCACGTGATGTTACATTGACGTCATTGCACCACAGTYAGACCAATCAGTCTAAAGGGAACGAGCCAATCAAGGCCTGGGGTTCCCTATATTGACTGTCTACGACCGACTACCCTAACAATCCAAGACATTGTGATGAACTATTATTTGAAATTTGAAGATATTTCTT